TTAAACATTTTTGGGGTGAATTTGGGGCAGTTTGGGGTTTGGGGGAGGGAATTTTGGGGTTTCTGGGAGGTTTTGGGGGGGAATTTTGGGGCTTTTTAGGGGAAATTTTGAATTCTTGGGGGGAATTTTGATTTTTTTGGGGTGAATTTTGTTATTTTTGGGTAAATTTTGGGGGGGTTTAGAGTGGAGTTTGTTATTTTTGGGTGAATTTTGTTAATTTTGGGTAAAATTTTGTTATTTTTGGGGTAAGTTTTGTCAATTTTGGATAAAATTTTGTTATTTTTGGGTAAATTTCACTATTTTGGGTTGAATTTTGTTAATTTTGGATAAATTTTGTTAATTTTGAATAAAATTTTGTTAATTTTGGATACAATTCTGTTATTTTTGGTTGAATTTTGTTAATTTTGGGTTAATTTTGTTATTTTTGGGTAAATTTTGTCAATTTTGGATAAAATCTTGTTAATTTTGGGTGAATTTTGTTATTTTGGGGTAAATTTTGTTAATTTTGGGGTAAATTTGGGGGGCGAATTTAGGGGTGAAACCCCAAATTTTGTTAAATTTGAGGGGTTTTGAAGCGAATTTTGTTAATTTTGGATAAATTTTGTTAATTTTTGGATAAAATTTTGTTAATTTTGGGTAAATTTTGTTACTTTTGGGTAAAATTTTGCCATTTTTGGGGTAATTTTTGTGCTTTTTGTGCCCCCAGGCCCGAGCGGGGCCTCTCCCGGAAGCACCTGCTGGAAGGTGAGGGGGCGGGGCCTGGGAGGGCGTGGCCAACCCGAGGGGGCGGAGCCTGGGTGGGTGTGACCCCTTAGGGGGCGTGGCCAAGCCGTGGGCGTGGCCTAACCCACATAAAACCCCTCCATGCCCTTATATGGGCGCAGAGTTGGTTCGCGCCATGAGTGACGTCATCGAGCAGGGCCTGGCGCTCTACTGGGGCACGGCCGGGGGCACGCCCGGTGACGTCATGGTGGGCGGGGACTCCGCGAGGCGCTGGGGGTGACGTCATAGCGGGCGGGGGTGGCTGTGACGTCATTGGGGCGGCGGGGTGGTGACGTCACGGTGGGCGGGGACACGGGAGGGGAAACGGAGGGTGGGGGTGACGTCATGGGGGGACATTTGGGGACAATTTTGGGCATTTTGGGGCCATTTTGTGCCATTTTGGGGCCATTTTGGTGCCCCTTGGTGACATTTTGAGGGTATTTAAGCACATTTTGAGGTCATTTTGCCCCATTTCGAGAGTATTTAGGGACATTTTTGCCCCATTTTGTGCCATTTTGAGGATATTTGAGGAAATTTTTGTGCCGCTTTCTGCCATTTTGAGCCTATTTTAGGATATTTTTTGTCCATTTTTGTCCCATTTTGCCCCATTTTGAGGCTATTTTAGGATATTTATTGTCCATTTTTGCCCTGTTTTGCCCCATTTTCAGGCTATTTAAGGACATCTTTGCCCCATTTTGTCCCATTTTGAAGCAATTTTTGTCCATTTTTGTCCCATTTTGCCCCATTTTGAGGCTATTTTAGGATATTTATTGTCCATTTTTGCCCTGTTTTGCCCCATTTTCAGGCTATTTAAGGACATCTTTGCCCCATTTTGTCCCATTTTGAAGCAATTTTTGTCCATTTTTGTCCCATTTTGCCCCACTTTGCACCATTTTTGCCCCATTTTGTCCCATTTTGTGCCATTTTTGAGGCTATTTTAGGATACTTTTCCCTCATTTTTTTCCCCATTTCCCCCCATATTTTCCCTATTTTTCCCCCCATTTTTGCCCCATTTTGAGGTTATTTTAGGCTATTTTTTGTCCATTTTTACCACATCTTGCCCCATTTTGAGGCTATTTAGGGACATTTTTGCCCCATTCTCCCCCATTTTCCCCCCATTTTTCCTATTTCCCCCCATTTTTTTCCCATTTCCCCCATTTTTTCCTATTTTCCCCCATATTTGCCCCATTTTCCCATTTTTGCTACATTTTGTCCATTTTTCCCCAAATTTTTCCTATTTTTTCCTATTTTTCCCCTTTTCCCCCATTTTTTCCTATTCCCCCCCCATTTTTCCCATTTTTGTCCCATTTTGTCCATTTCCCCCCCATTTTTCCCATTTTCCCCCATTTTTTCCTATTTCCCCCCATTTTCCCCATTTTCCCCCATTTTTGCCCAATTTTATCCATTTTTGCCCCATTTCCCCCCATTTCCCCCCATTTTTTCCTATTTCCCCCTGTTTTTTCCCCGTTTTGCCCCATTTTTGCCCCATTTTCCCCATCTTCCCCCATTTTCCTCCATTTTCCCCATTTTTCCCCCATTTTGCCCATTTTCCCCCCATATTTTCCTATTTTTCCCCCATTTCCCCCATTTTTCTCCATTTTTGCCCCATTTTTTCCTATTTTTTCCCATTTTTTCCCCTTTTCCCCCCCTTTTTTCCCCCTTTTTTCCCACCTCTGCCCTGCTCACGGCTCCCACCAGCTCCCCAGAGCGGGTGACAAAGACTCGCTGCAGCTTCAGCAGCTGGAAGAGGTGATAGGCCTGGGAAAGGGACGACACGGACATGTGGGGACAAAGCCACCCTCGCTGTGTCCCCTCAGTGTGACACAGACCCGTGGGGGCTCACAGGACACGTTTCACACCCCCAGACCTGGTGCAGGGAGGTCCACGGGGAGAACTGGAGCATGATGGGCTCGATGGCACAGTCGTCCCCGAGTGTCCCCACGGTGGCCAGCTTGAGGAAGGTGACATGTTAATTTTGGGGTGGAAAAGCAGCTTTTTGGGTGTGGTAGGGTGCCTCCACCCCATTTACCTTCTCCCCTTGGGGGGCCTGAGGGTGCTTGTGGCTCTGGAGGAAGGTGACCAGCTGGGACCTGCTGATGGTGCCCACCAGAGTGGGGGACCCTGGAGAGAGGGGACAGTGTGGGGACAGTGTGGGAGCACCAGGGGGACACCAAGGGAACAGTATGGGAACAACAGCGGGAGGTACTGGGGACACCAAGGGGACATCCTCTGGGGACAGCAGGGTGACCGTATGAGGACAGTATGGGGACAGTATGGGAATATCAAGGGGACACCCCACAGGGACACCATGGAGACAGAACGGGAATATTGAGGGAACAGCATCGGGACACCGAAGGGGATGGGGACAGCATAGACACAGTGCAGAGACACCATGGGGACAGTATGGGAATGGCATGGGGACACCATGGGGACACCATGGGGACAGTGGTGGAGCTTAACACTGCCAGCATGGCCTGAGTGTAAAGAGGCGTGGCTAAGGGGTTGGGGGCGTGGCCTTTAACCAAAGTGGGCGTGGCTGCGGGCTGGGGGCGTGGCTTCGGGCTGGGGGCGTGGCCAGGGCCCCGGCTGACCCCGCCCCCTGTCCCCAGGGCTGGGCGCTGTCACCTGGCCCCCGCTGGGCCCCGCGGGACCCCCGGAGCAGCAGAGCCCCGGGCACGGCCACGGCGAGGTGCGGGGGACACCAACGGCCCCAAAACGGCCCCAAACGGCCCCAAAACGGCCCCAAAACGGCCCCAAAATGGCCCCAGTGTCCCCAAATGTCCCCAAATATCCCCAACATCCCAGTGTCCCCAAAAACCCCAATGTCCCGAAATGTCCCCAAAATGTCCCCAATGTCCCCAAATATCCCAAATGTCCCGTGTCCCCAAAATGTCCCCAGTGTCCCCAAAATGTCCTTAATGTCCTCAATGTCCCCAAATGTCCCCAATTCCCCAGTGTCCCCAAAACTCCCAATGTCCCCACAGTCCCCCAATGTCCGAAATCCCCCCCAATGTCCCCAAATGTCCCCAAATGTCCCAAATAATCCCAAATGTCCCCAATTCCCCAATATTCCCAGTCCCCAAATGTCCTTAATGTCTCCAATAACCCCAATGTCCCCAAAATGTCCTCAATGTCCCCAATGTCCCCAAATGTCCAAATAACTCCAGTGTCCCCAAAAACCCCAATGTCCCGAAATGTCCCCAAAATCTCCTCAATGTCCCCAAATGTCTCCAAATGTCCCCAATCCCCCAATGTCCCCAAATGTCCAAAATCCCCCTAATGTCCCCCAACTGTCCCCAATGTCCCCAATAACCCAAATGTCCCAAATAATCCCCAGTGTCCCAAATGTCCCCTAATATCCCCAAAATGTCCTCAATGTCCCAAAATGTCCCCAAAATGTCCCCAATGTCCCCAATTCCCCAATGCTCCAAATGTCCCCAAATGCCCCCAAAATGTCCTCAGTGTCGCCAGTGACCCCAAATGTCCCCAATGTCCTCAATCCCCCAGTGTCCAAATGACCCCGGTGTCCCCCGGTGTCCCCAAAATGTCCCCAAAACTCCCAAATAACCCCAATGTCCACAATGTCCCCGAATGTCCTCAATGTCCCCAAAATGTCCCCAATCCCCC